AACTAGTGCAATAAATTAGAGTGAGACAAGTATACGTTTTCTCACTCTAGCTCACTGCACTGGTGAACTAGTGCAGCAAGCTAGAGTGAGAAAAAATATATGCCTGGCTTAAGGCCTGTGTCCACGATGCTAGGACTTGGTCAAAGTTCTAGTTTCGAGAAATGCGTAGCCAATCGACTTGCAGCTTTTCCGTAAGAGATGCAAATTGATTGGCTACACATTTTTCAAAACTAGAACTTCGACACAGTTCTTGGATCGTGGGACACAAGGCTTTACTCGGAATTCGTTGCACTAATTCGCCAGTGTAGCAACAGAAAACAGGCCTCTCTTGGTATACGCACGCGGCCTTATAATCTTTGGGCTTACAATTAGAGATAAATGGTAAAAGATTTACTTGGGCGGTGCAATCCAACAAAACTATCCTGGGAAGAAGCACTTTGCCTAGTCGCTCGGCAAAAACGACCTCGGGACACGTCCGTTTTGTCTTTTTCTAATCCTGAGGAAAGATAAAGATTAGGGAGGCTGTAAAAAGAAATTGCAGCGTGTTAACAATTGCATGAAATTCAAGATAATCTTTTTTTTTAATAATGCCGGCCAGTGCGAATTCTTTTCTAGGTCTTCTCGTCGGCTTTCGGAAATATTTATAAGGTTCAAGATTTCTGAATAAGATACCATACTGTATACTTTCAACTAAAATGGTTGCTCAGGACGTTGAGAATTGGATAACAAACAAACTGGATAAATTAATGTTTAACGAATGTCTCGTGTTAAAATTAAAGATGTGAAAAATACGCGGTGTAGTTCGCAGTTCTCTTGCAATATTAAAATTTGCGCCGCGACAAAACCGCGGCATAAGTTGATATCAAAATGTACATTTAATTAAAATTCACTAACAGGGCAACGGAAACTCGACACGAAACGGACTTCTTGTGCGTTACGATAAAAGTTTTATCGCGCAATTCTCTCCTCTGCGAAACCATTGCTTTACAAACGTTCAAAATACTCGAGAAATAGTGTACCGAATATATTTTTTAACATCTTAATATTGGCATTGTCGGCAAAGCATTGGTGATCAATTGAAGATCTTCTGGAGCTCGTATCGCATTTCCAAGATGATGCGTCTTTAACCCATGGTCTCACGCTTCTGCAACGACGTTCCGCTAAGAAAACATGCTGCGTGCACGAAGTCGAACGAGCATTTTATTCGTTATCGAAAATAAGTCAAGCTACCATCGACACGGTACACTTTGAATACCTTAAGTGAATTGCGATGGAAAAAAAGAACACGATGACGAGGAAAGAATGAAACAAGCAAAATATATGCATACGCTTAATTTCAAGTCGAATCGCCGCTGCAAAACGCGCGGAAAAAACTTATTGTTTAATCGTAAGATTAATCTGCATAACGTGCATCTTTTTAACCAAATTGTCATCCTAATCCACACGCAAGGCTCCACTCGAAATGCACCGAATATAAAAAAATGCACCGCGTTTTCCGTGTCCGTAGCGTAATTGTTAATGTATAAAAACAAAATTGATATTGGATGCATACAATTCTGTTAATTACCGAAGGGGAAACCAAGTCAATTGTTTAGTTCCACCAGATTGATTTGGTTTTTCCGACTCTACGAGAATTACTTGCCACTTGCACGCAACAGAAATACTACCTCAGTCATCGTTGTCTCTTTTGCAATTTCTTTTATTATTAAACGTTCTCTTTCTCATTAATTTCCTCACCTATACAGTTATCTGTTGGGTTGTATCAATTAACTGTGTAAATTAATAGTAGCAAATTGCCGTTTACTATTTTATTTTCACGTTTTAGCACGTAGGTGTATAAGTAATGTTTGTCATATTTCTAACTACAGATAATAATTACAGGCGCCCTGCGATGGGTAAACGGGTCTGTCGTATTATCTCTCAATGCGTTAATACTTAAAAACGTTAAATATCTGGAAAAAAACGTAGAAAAATCTCGTCTTTACAATAAAATATCAACAATTCACTCATATTGCCATCGTTAGTAACCATCTCGAAGATCACTAGACTTTTCCGCTAAAGGAAGCGGAACAATGAATACGATGAATCCAACTGAGACGACACTCCCTAAATAAATAACATCTCGCATCCTAATACATAAAAATATGGCCCTATACAACAGTAAAAATTATTAAAAGTATTTTTATCATTGTCACGAGACGACTAATTGTTGTAATACGACAGACCAGCTCGAATCTATATGTTGTGATATAAACAAAATCCACTTCGCATTTTAGCTATAATAGATGTCGTTAAACAAATTTTAATATTTTTAATAAAATCGAGAATATCCTATGAAACATACCCATACAATTGTACGTACTTCTTCCAATTACTTACTCTTTTTCTTTTTAGCTTATTCCTCACCTTCATTATCCACCGAGTGTACACGTGCAATAATAATAATAATTAAAATAATATAAAATAAGAATAATAATAATAATAGCAGTTGTACTAACAGTAATAGTAGTAATTGCAGCAGCAGCAGCAGCAGCAGTAGTAGCGGGTGATAGTAATAATAGTACAGTAATAGTAATCATAATCGTAGTAATAATAATAGCGATAGTACTAACAGGAGCAATAGTATTAGTGATAAATGATAACGATAATAGCCATAATAATAATAACTATAACAAATATATTAATTAATAGTAACGGCAATAGTAGTACAACAATAATAATAGTACGACAAAAGATAATGATAGTAGCGACAATAATAGTATAAATAGTATTGTAAATGGAGGCAATAATGTAACGGCGATAACGGTAAATTGTAATAGCAATGGTATATTGGGTGACAAAAAGAAATAATAATGAAAATCATACAAATTCTATTAAGATCGAAAAGAACACGAAAAGGAAGCTATTGTTATGACAGTACTATTACTGCTGCTGCTGTTACTACTATTGTTACTATTATTGCAATATTATTATTATTATTATTAGAGCTATTATTAATACTATCATTATTATAATCGCGCTTACTGCAAACACCAACTATTACCACTGCTACTTCTACTCCTACACTACTGTTACAATGCTGCTGACAATAATGATCCTGCTGCTGATGATGCTAATGATCGAAGTGGTAATAGCCATCGTGGTAATGATGCTTACGATAAAACTCGATTCTTCAGTACTCATATGGTGCGACGGTCAGTCACACTCCGTCAACGGTAATATAATTTGCGTTTTTAAGAATATAAATACATTAGAAGTTTGTGCCGGCAAAATCTCAATATATTTACATAAGAACACATCAACCACATTGGCAAAATCAGTAAGCAACGATACATTGCAATTAGCATGCCACACGAATACTGGAGAATCAAGCGATAACATAAGAGAGAAGCATTTTACTACAGGTTCTTTGAGACTTCAACAGTATCTTTTCCTTCTTTCGGTTTTCTTTTTAATATTGTATACATTGCCCGCGCTACTTGACCAAGGATTCAATTCTTTGTAACACGAGAGGAATTGTAACCTCATGCCTAATTCAAGCAATTCGTGGCATCGCCGTTATGTCGATTTACATTATACTCTCTCCAATAGCTCTCCTCAAGTTCTCAATGCTTCAGAGAAAAGATATCCAGGGTGAAAGGGAGTGATCGCAATCTTTATCCTCTTTCTAATCGATATTCTCTAAATTCATTGAAGTGTTAAATTTGTTTAACAAGCCTACGTGTTAAGAGTGTCTCTTCTTCTAATACATGTTTCTTCACTATTCACACAGACATCACGAATACGACATGAAAAATTCTCAGAGTTCAAAGACAGTGGTCGTCGGTACGACTGGCAGTATATCGTGTTTTCTTTTTGTCGAAAGTTAACATCTTATCTCAACAGTGCCTAGACCTCTCTCGTAAGATCAAGGCGTGATGGGCATGGCCACATTTATCTTTGCTGAATAAATCTGGCAACGGTGGACTCCTGTGAATACTACTATTTATTTTCATGGGCTTTATCTTTATAACAAAGCTTTAACTGCAACGAAAGCAGAGAATATACAATCCTTCTCGTACGTTGCGATAGTAGTAGTTTAGATTGCGGTTCGGTTGTTCCAACATAATCTTTCTAAACGTGAAAAGGCTCGATATAATTCATGTGGCTTTTCACGCTTCACAAGCAATACCTTAAATACCTAATGATTGAAACTCGTCGCGAATGAAGCCAGGTCACGATGGGTCTGCGCGATATCTATAAACAACAGTTTCCTATTTCCGTCGCGCAAACGTCACCATGACCTCGCGTTCATCGGCAAAACGACCAATATACATGGGAGCTTCTCCTTGTCGCAATACATACGGGCGACACAGTCATGCTTAGATCAGACTCGTGGATATCATTCTAATCGGTAAGGTCGGCAGAATCCGCTTCTTATTGTTCGGATAAACGGAGGACTTTATACCACCGCTTGTTTCAGTCCTTTCGAACATGCTACATACGAAAATTGCAATAATTGTAACTTCTCTCGGTTACTTAAACTCTCTTCTTCTCCCTCTCTTTATGACGTGATCAAGAAACCGTGCATCGTGCGTCCTAGGACATACAGTATCGTTTACCGCAGGCTGCTCCTGATCTGGGTACAGAGAGATATACATATATATATGATTGTATATATATATCTATATATATAGAGTCCGTGTAGATTTTCTTTCTCTCACTTTCCCACAGATACAACCTCACGAACGTGACTCCTTAACGATACAGAACATTCTTTTCATGCGATTCGCATTTGTAATCAATCAACATCCCACTCGATGACGGCACATATTTTTCTCTTGAGTCAAGTATTCAAACACGATAATTTTAATGTGTCACTTTTTCAAGCTTTTTGTAACGGTATCAACCAGCGCTGATTAACTTGTCGCCATTCTTAAATATGTTCATGTATACTCGATATTACTTAATAATGGAAATGCTTAATAAACGTCTTTTCGACTGCACAAAGACGGTAAGTTTATGCTGTTAGAACTAAAGAACGGGAAAGGTGCGTACTGAATGTTACCTTTCTACAAGTTCTTTCCTTCCTTTACAGCACGAAACTCAGATTTTTAATATATTTAACTGCTAGTCGATTATATAAGCACGTGATTTCGTAGATAAACGAATTCCATTGAGACACTGGTGTGCTCTTTTCTTGGGGAAACAGAAAAGCACGTTAGTCCTTGCCCTTACTTTTCGACGAGATTATATCAAAGGTTTAATCAAAGAAAGCTGTTTTCCACAAAATGGAAGAACAAGTATGTTCACCCTCACGAATATTCACGTTCACTCGTTTTGTTGATTCACTTCTTCCTTATTGTTATCACTATCTTGTTGATTTACATTGGACTTGTTGCTCCCAGGTTGTGTTCCAGAGGGACCATCATTCATCTTGTCACTGTGGTTGTCAGATTTGTCATTGGAATCCATTTTAACGTTTCCTAGAGCAGGAAATTCGTACACATTAATCATATATTAATCACATATAAGTTATTCATTATATTAAATATGTATATGTATAGTTTCTATAGGTATAGATATATGAATATACAGCAAATATCTGTTTTACAAACCTTGTGGTGAGTAATATTGTTGCTGCATCTTCATGTTACGTTGCTGCTGCTGCTGCTGATGTAAATTCGGTCTGTGACGATTAATTTGAGCTTGTTGCTGCTGCTGTGTTGGCATACAAGCAGGCTGCTGCTGCGTGGGATTATTTGGGTTTGGACCTGGTGCAAATGGTACTACGGGTCGCTGTATCGGAGGTGGATAACGCTGTTGCGACGGTTGGATACCAGCACGAGGCGGCATACCCATTCCACGTACATTCTGTTGTAAAACCTGTAGATTAATGCACAAGGCTATATTGTCTCACTTTTCATCTGTAAACCAGATGAAAGAAATTAACTTTATAATTTTTTTTTATCGTATACTATAAAACAAGCTCTATTAAAAAATTTCTTTGTTCATATAATATTAAATTCAATATATTTAACTTCCTATTTGTTCACGGATGGTGAAACTTTGTATACACATTATTTAAGATGGAAGGGAGATTCTTAATTATATGCGTATTATAATCATTCGTTTTTAACGATACCATATATATGTATTACATAAAAGTATCCTTCTCCAAAACAATTATTTGTTTAGACGATAATCGTGAAAGATACCAAAAGATGTATATTCTAATTTTCATTTAAATTCTCTACAATTGTTCGGAAAGAAACGATTTTACATGAATACATGGTAATTAATTATATTTCAAGACTTTCAGAGATACTTAACAAATTTTAGAAAAATTAAAAATATCATATAATGTCAGATAAAGCGTCAACAAATTCATATAACTTTCTTTTCTTATCCTTTAAATTCTCTGCAAGTATTGACGTATAACTAAGAATTGTATATACGTATTTGACTTGATGAGATACATGCATAATATTTAAATGAGATAACTTTAATGAATAAATGGTACATACGTAGTTATTGTAGCTGCTTACCAGAGCAGACTGATTAATTGCGCCCTGATATTGTTGATACTTATGATGTTGCGTAGGACTCGGTTGTGGTTGTTGCGACGAAGATTGCTGTTTGCAATTTCTTGATTTAGGCGACGGTATTTGAGGAGCTACGATTAGGACGGTAAACTAATGTAGTTTAACAGATTATGTAAATTATTCTCATATGATAAAATATAAAATCTTAATTCCTACATATTATTTGGATAAAGCTTCTCGAGGCTAAAATCATTTGTTTCGATTACTTGTGAAATAACAAGCTTACTCGAGCTGAAAACCGATGCCAGCACATCCTGTTGATTTCCCGATGGGCTCTTTAGCTGTCTGGGCTGCTCCTGCGGTTGGTGCTTACTAAGAAACGTGGGCGCTGCATTTCCTGGTCCGGGCAAACCACCAGTGGGATTGCGAAATTGTTGAGCTGCCGCGGCGATTTGCAATCCTGAACTGGATAGGAAGCTGGGGCCATAGTTTTGTAGACCGACTGGGGTTGCGCTACCCGTTGCCAGACTTTGGCTGTGCTGTCCAAATCCTTGCAGACCATAGTGAGTCCCAGTTTGTTGAGTAGCACCGCCGGATTGGTAGAAGCCTGTTTGCGACCCGGGAAATACATCTGAAAATTGTTGATATTAAACGTTGAGAAAATATACCTCACGAAAACGCGATGCACGTATAATGACACTGCATATTGATTTACCGGCAGATGTAGCGCTGTAGTAACTGTTGGATGCTTGCACGTTTGGACCGGGTCTCTGTACCAACTGCGAATTGCTCATGTAACTACCGCTTACACCGAGCACTTGATTCGGATCGTACGGTATATAAGTCAACTGGAAAAAAAAAATGAAGAGTTTCGTTAGCAAACTTATACTATTTGACTTTTACTGCGACAGCATAAGTTTGCAATATAAAATTGTACCTGATTGGGTTGAGGGGCAGACGGAGTCTGGAAATGCGGAGCTTTAGTTCCAATTGCTCCAATTGGTTGAGACGACGGTTTCACGCTCGCTGACATCAGAGAATTTGACGATGAACTGATTAGTACCGTGTTGGGATTATTACTGAGCTGCTGATTCTGTCCGAACGGCGGAGCAGCTGCTGCGGTCTATCAAAAGAAATTAAAAATTAAACTCTATTCCCACTGTAAATATCAGTACTAGAGCAGAGAATCGTCATATATTACTTTTAGATTGTAATGTATTGTGAATGGCCGGTCAGAAATTTATATCGTTGTAAGGAAGTATTACGAAAAAAACTAGAATTTACGTACAATGCGGTATTGGGACAAATTGTTTTGGTACATCTCAGGTGTAGGAGCATTTGGCGCGTGAGGTGGCGGCGGCGGCGGTTGCTGCAAGTACACATTTTGTTGGCTGAATGAGCTCTGGAGGGACGGAGCGTACGGCGCGTACTGCGTGAACGGCGACCGGCTCTGATCCAGTTGAAACGCTCCGTACAAACCGCCCGCTTGAGCCGGCAATTGTCCCGAGCCTGTGTTGAACAATACCGCCGGCGGCGACGGTATGGCCGACATGCCGCCGTATTGAGCCTGCGATCCAGGATACTGCGGGAATTCCTAAAAACAGAAAGAAGATCGTCCGCCTTAATATTCGGTGCCTTGTATTAATTGTCGCAATAACAAACAATAAGAATGCAACCCACCTGATAGTTAATGTGCGATGGCTGTCCTGTAGAATTGAATGGGGGTGGACTTAGGGGACCTTGGAGACTGACGGGAGGATGACCGATGGGGCTCTGACCAGCTCCGATGGGACTAGGCCCAGGCACGGTAGATCCCGGTTGCGTACCGCTGCTCCCCGAGGACTGTTGCTGCGGCTTCACCTGCGGGGGAACCAGCTGCGCATCAGGCAAAGAGTCAGCGTCTTCCCACAAGGGACATTGTGTTTCAATATTTAGTTGTTATATTACATCATGTCAACAGGACATTCTCAACAAGCATTCGTTAGTTTCATATATCATTCTCAAGTCTGTTTTGGAAATCTGGTGAAAATGGACAGGTTTGTTACGCCGTCGCACTACACATACCACTTTGTAATTAACAACGGCGAGAAAGGCCATAATGATAATGAATAATAATGACGATGATGATAACAATATTATCCGGTGTTAAGATTAACATAATGACAGAACGATGATAACAAAAGTACAGGCGGTTTCTGTTAAATCGATTATTGATTATTGACAAGTGGCTGACTCAGTATCCTTTGGTCAGAGATATTAGCCACTTACCTTTCTCATTTTCACCACACTTACTAGACAGAATTGTTCAAAAACACAAGAAGGGAGAGTATTAAAAGAGCAATTAATTGTAACAGTAATGACAATAGCAATTCAAGTAAATAATAGAGAACGTCGGATTAACTTTGAGGCGACATGACAATTCCATCGCATGCACATTAACATGACATAATATATGGAGAAATATTCGCGAAATGATTTCTCACCTTGCACACATTCGTCGACGTTGTGATCTCGCTTTTTATATTGCTCTGGTTGTACTGCTGGTGAGGGCTGTAACTGTCGTCGACGTCGCCGCTCTCGAACGCCTGCGGGAAGCTGGTCGCGCTACTGACCACGCTGGTGCCGTCCTCGTGCTCGACCACGGTCGGCATCGGTGGCGCGTTCTCCCAGACCTTCTTCACGGACGCGATCTTAAGGTTGAGCTCCGCGGTCGACGGCGATATCGTGCTCTGGCCAGCGGCCATGTGCATGGAGCGCGCCATGCCCAGACTCTTGCTCTTGTCATCCGTCAGTTGTGAAAGATCAGAGTCGAAGGTGAAGTCCAATTTCATGTCGGCGTTATCCTCGTTCTTGTTGAACGACAAAGGCATTTGGATGGGTTCCTGGTTCTTGTCTTTGATCAAGTCGTTCGGTTTATTGGAAAATGCGACGGAGAGCGCCGGCTGCTGATGCTGCTGGACCTGGTTGCCCTCCTCCTCCATCTCCGTGCGTTTCTCGGACCGCTGCTGCGTCTTAATGTGATTCGAAAACTTGGATTTCACCGCCAGATCCGTCGGCCCACTCGTCTTGGTCGTCTTGGAGTAATTCGTGTTCTCGAAGATTAGAGTCTGCACGGGTGGCGAGGACACGTCGGACACGTTCTTCTCCGCCAGGGTCTCCTTCAGATTCTTCCCCGTCTTCTCGCCACTCGGCGAATTTCGTTGGCTGCTGTGCCCGGAGTTGGCTTCGTTGCTCTCGTGGCTGTGGTCATTTTGAGCCGTTAAGCCGGACATCAGCTGAATGTCCGTAGGAACCGCAGACGGGGAATTGGAACGCAATTGGCTCGTGAACGGTTTGTCCCAAGCGTTAACCGTTGGCGGAGGAGCGGGACTGTTGGAAGATTCCTTGGCGTAGTTGTTGCCGGAGCTGTTCAGCTTGCTCATATCGCCCGCGTCGGTCACGCACATCTGCTGCTGCTGCTGTTTCACCAGACGCTGGAACCGCGGCGCGAGTCTCGGATTACGAGGGTTCCTACTGTCGTACTGCTTCTGCGGTATGTTCGCCGGTTGTGGGATATTCTGGCTGAGTAGAGGCGGTATATTCTGCACCTGCTGCAGAACCTGCTGCGATCCATTCGACTTCGATTTCGAACGGTCGCGCTCGCGCTCGCGCTCCTTCTCCTTGTCTCTCTTAACGGGCTTCACCTCCTCCTTCTGATTGTGCCTGGACTCCTTCACGTTCTTCTTCGAGCGCACTTCCTGGAAACCATCAGCGTCCACCTTGTCCTCCGCCGCGACACTCGTAGCATCCTCGGTGCAGCTGTTCGTCTCAATTTCCGAATCCACCAGCTTCTTATCTTTCGCCTGCGACTTCTTGTTAAGATCGTTCAGCGCTTGATTCACCAGATTCGGATCGCTCAGCTTGATCTCGTCGATGCGATTGACCATGCTGTCTTTGTTATTCGGCTTGTTCGCGACCGCGCCACTGTTGGTCGAACTCTGACTCCTGGACCTTCCTCCATTCTGTATTTGCGCGTTTTGCATCAGCGGCGGTATACCGTCGGCGTGATTCTTCTGAGCGCTGAATCCGGCATTCTGCAGACTCCGCTTCTCCGCACCCGGGGCTCGCGACGTCGGATTGGAAGACTTGGGATTTTTCTCACGTTGCTCTCTGGTATTCGCCAGCTGCTCGCCTCTACGGGAATGCACGTTCGCGCCGATGGCATTTTGGTTCGCGGACTGAATGGCTCGCCCACCAAAGTGCTTGTTGCGGCTGTTACGGGACTCTTTGTGATCGTCTATATGCTCCTCGCTGTTCTCCGACGTGGTTTCCCAATCCTCGTTGCCTACGTCCGACTGGGGCTGCTTGGATACATTGCCACTGCTGCCGCGCGAACGAGCTTCACGGCTGTCCCTTCCCTGTGAAAGATGACAATGCATCGTTACATTATTAAGAGAAAACTAAACGTGTTACTTATTTAATAAATTGTCGTATGTAACAAATTTTTGTTTTTAAATAAAGGCATGATATAAAAGAATTTTTAAGTTCAATATTTATATTCCTATTTTTCAAATTTTATGCGCGGAATACATAAAGCATATTTCAAAGTGATGCATGCGCTTTCAGGGATAAATAATCGACTCGTAGTTAACAGGTTTCTGATTCCACGAGTGCCTCGTCTAAAGATGATTGAAAAGTTAAAGATTATGAATAAATGATTATACGTACTCTTCTACTTCCGCTACGAGTTCTCTTGGAACGCGAATCGTCCTTTCGCAGTTGCATTTTTTGGGACGGGACGTTGGCGACTTGATTCGCATGATTCGCTTCTTGCTTGCTGGACTGGGCTTGCTGGCTCGGAGACTTATTGCGTCTGCCCGTGATACCCGCTGTGAGTGCCTGCTGCTTCGCGATGATCTTGTCGTCGGTAGACTCAACTGACGCGGACTGCAAGAGACCCGCCTCTTTCTCCGAGGTCGGGGTCGGTGGATTTTGCCGTCCGGCACTTTGTTGCTGATGCTTCTCGTCAGTGTTACGTTCCGACGAGAACGGACTCTTACTGGACGGCGGTCCGTAACCTTCCATGCGGCTGCCCGTAGTCGTGTTCCGAATACGGAAACCGCCTCCTCTGCCGCGACGGGACGGCTCGCCGGATGGCGCGAAGCCCTCGTGGCTGGGCTTCCCGTCGTACGTTCTCTTCTCGCTGCGCGTCTGGGAATACTCCGTGCCGCGCTTGTCGTCCCGCCTCGACACCTCGCGATTGCGCTCCTCCTTCTCGACTTTCTGAGAGGGTTTCGGCGAGCGAGCCGATCGCTTGTCCTCCTTTCCGGACTCGGTGGAGCCGGATATCTCGTCGGCGCTGTTCTCGGAATCGGTGTGCCCGTACGAACCGCTCTTGGCAGACATCCCGGATTTGCCGGTAGGTCGCGGCCCGCCTCTCCGTCCTCTGGATTCCGGGCCACGCCAGCCGCGAGTGTAAACGTTGAAGGTTCCGCCCCACTGGCGTCCACCTCGGGTGTCCCGAATTCTAGAACTGGAGCCACTGCTGCTCGTTCTGTTGCGCGTACTCTTCTCCCTCTTCTCGTCCTTGGCTTGCTCTTTGGCGTCTTCGGCAACGGCCTCATCCCGCTTTTCCAAAGCGGGCTTGTCCAACGAGCTCTGTTTAATTTCGTCGCTCTCCTTGCCATCTTTAGCAGCTTCCGCTATCTTCTCCTCTTCCTTCTCGAAAGTCGGCGATATCGCGTCGGCCCATGCCTTCGGCGAGTTATCACTTCTCTCAATTTGCCTGCTTTCCGGGGCACGTTCCGTTTTCCTGTTCCACACGTCCGTATCCTTTTTCGTCTCGGCGGAAATCTCCTTCGGCTGTTCCTTCTTTTCTTGAAGATCAGAACTACCCCTCTTCAATTGAGTCAGACTGCGCTTCTCGCTCTTCAGTTCGTCCGCCTCGAGCTTCTCTTTAGTGACTGGACCGGGCGGCTGCCTTCTGTCCCTCTCCCTCTCCCTAGTCTCCTCGTGATACAAATCTCGTTTCTTCTCCTCGTAATCCGACACTTCGTTTACCCAGGAACTGCAATCCCGCAATTTATGCAGCTCGTCGTCGCGCAAAGACGCTTTAGATTCTCTGGAGGCACGACTGTCACGCGAGTCCGGTCTCTGCGGACGTTCGTTGCGCTCCTCTTTCGGTGCGTCACGACGATTTTCGAGTTGCCTGTCCGGTCCTACATTGCGTTCCTCACGCCACTCCGGGTTCTCAGAGCGCTCCCTTTGCTCGCGCTCTCGTTCATCGAATGAATCCTGCGAAGTGAAAAATTTTCCCCAAGTTAGAAACAAGCCGATCGATATGAATATCGAGATAAAAATCTACCGTACGAAGATTAGTCGTATCTATATTTTTACCTTCGAATAATTATCGTAATCCTTCTTGTCTTTGTCGCGCGCGTCTCGAGCGTCTCGCGCATCACGGCTGGTAGGACGAGAATCTTTGACGTCGCGACCGTCTCGGCTGTCACGGGTGTCGCGATTGTCACGGGAATCGCGGCTGTCCCGGTTATCTCTCGAGTCCAGATTCTCCTTCGGGTCTCGTTCTTTATCGTCGAAATGTCTCTCGCGTTCCCAAGAATCGCGAGGATGCCTGTCGTCGTACTCATAGTCTCTGAAATTACGGCTGTACTCGTCGTAATAGCCACCTGGCTTGCGGCTGTCGTAGGACCGATGCGAAGAATGCCGATAACGATCTTCCCTTGACGGTGGTGCACCGCCACGATGATCTCGAGACGGAGGTCGTTCATCATCCAATAGCGCCGGTCCATCCGAATCGGTTCTATTACGACGTTGCGACGGCATGGGTTGCTTCATACCACTGTCTACTAATACAAGTTTCACTTAATATAATGGGCAGTTTTTTAACAACTTATTAGAAAGAAGAAAATGGCGATTAAACGGATCTTAAAATAATTTTAACGGAGAAACGTCACGTTGAAGATTATTTGGTTTAAGCTAAAAGGTGATATCGTTTCCCCTGATTAATTTTTTATTAACGTCACCTTCTTGTGCTGTTCTCAATTGGAACAAGGTAGTAAAGACCTTTAATAATTATTTTCCTTAGTTTGCAATTCTTATTATAAGAGACGTGGTTGATACAGAAGTGATCCATAGAAACTTACTCAATGAGTTGTAATTGTGAACCCATCTGCCGGGATCGTATTGCTGGGAGAACGGGACAGACTGGGAAGCAGGTCTTTCCGCATTTGGTGAAATGCGGTTGAAATTCGCGCCGCTTCGCTCTGCCTGCTGCTTTTGAAATCTGGGCGGTAGGTTATTCTGAAAGTGTCGGGAGAACGCCGGTTGCTCGCGATCTCTCGAGTCTCTCTGATCACGATCGCGATCGCGTTCTCTCTCGCGCTCGCTACGTACTGTGTCCTGTTGCCGTAGGAAGTTCTGCCGATCGCTCTGGCGAAAGTCCGACAGTCCCTGATCCCTGCCTTCTCTCAGATTGTCGCGAGTCTCGCGTCCAGAGGTGATGATCTTCTCATCTTTCCCCTCGGACGAAGTGCGAGACCGTTCGCGATCTCTGCTCTCTCGCTCCCTATTCTCCTTCTCTCTCTCCCATTCGGGTATAGGTAGAGCCACGGGTGGGATGCTGATCAAGCTTTTGGACTCGCCAGACTGCACACGTTCATCATCTTTATGCTTCGCCTGCTTCTCCTTCATCTTTTGCTCCAAGTCCTGCAGCTTCTTAGCCGCTGCTTGCTTTGTTGACTCCTGAAAACGCTTCTCCTCCTCTTCCTTCCGTAATCGCGCACGCTCGACAACGGATGCAACTTCAACCTTGATTCTACGTCGTTCGTTCCACGTTTCGTCATCCTCGACACCTGTTTGCAATACAGATAGGTGCGTTAAACACAATCTAAGTAAATCATTCCGCTGTTTACTCCGATAAACTTACCTCTTAACGAATGTACAGAGTGCATTTGTGACTGACCGGCGTAGCCACCACTTGCGCCGTTCGATCCACGATAATCGCGATTCATAGATTGAGCCCAAGGACGATGCGGCGGATCGCGGAGCTCCTTCGAGTCTCGGTTATCTCGAGGCTTCTCCTTCTCCTCCGCGGCATTATCATCGCCCTTTTTCTCCTTGGCATCTTTTTTCTCGTCATGCTTCGATGATTCTGTTTCACCTTCGTCGTCGCTAAAGGCCAATTTTTGGTTATAATCAATATCATCGTGCGCAGCCCATCCTGCGTCACGGGAAATATCATCCATACGAGTGAGATCTTCCTCTTTGATGATGGGTCTAGTCATAATTTCTTCCTCAGCCACGCGGTCACGTTGAGGAGGCGGAAATCGATCCAAGGGATGATTAAATCTAGGTCGGGGGCTGTTGGATCCAGAATTTGATGAAAATTGCGCAGAGAATCCAGCAGGGAAATTTGATCTATACATCTAAAAAGATCATATAATACATTTTGTTACGCAGATTAAAAAAAAAAGACCTACTCGCAAGCACACGCTTTCGCGATTGTAATAGTAAACTCACAAATGGCGGGATAAGTCCCCGGTAATGATGCAGGTTTGGCCCAATTTGATGAGAACCGGAAGAAGGCGCAGAACCTTGGTTGTTGACGGCATTATGCTGGCCTCCCGGGCCCGCGCCCATGTTGGGCGATTGGCCCAAGTTCTGCCGCCCTCCACCGGGTCCCTCCTGGGTGTGTCCTCCTGAAACAGGTATATTTAAAGGGAGGCCCTGGCCCGCCGGAGTATTCCCATTTCCGGGACCAGCTGATGTTACTGGTACTGGACCACCTGCCGTACGACTTCCGCCTTGAATCCAGCTTCCTTCGGCTGCGAAAGATTCGGTGGATGAATAATTTGGACACTTCGAAACCAGGCAATTCTACAATGATTACGGCGAAAGGGAACTTACTCTGTGGACGTAGGCTCGGACCTGGACCATATTGCGCATTTAACTCTCGATTCGACTGTTGTTGGTTTCCCGGCGTCCCACCTACGTAATTTATTCATAATATTAAAAGTTGAACTAATCTAACACTATATTTCGATGCCTATGATATATAATAATTTATAACAATTGATGAAGGATAAATATTTAGTGAGATAAGTGACAACAAGGTACATGCTTGCACGTGATTATTTCATAGATTGTGCATAACTTTCCCACGTACATATAACATGCTTTACGGAGATAGTGTCGTGAGCATAACAAAGAATTAAATAGTACAAATAAAGCACGGAAGATAAAGTGCTCGATTAATCTTGAAACAAATTAACGTCTAATTTCATGTAAAATAAGCGTAAACCACACGAGTTGGTGAAACGTGTAATTTCATCCCATATCATAAAGCATATTTTAATTACAATATATGTATATATCGACAGAAATACACTCATGTAAATAAGTTGATAGCTTATATTACAACTATATTATTTCTTATAAAATGGTACTTTAAAACATTTTTACTTGAATCAATTTATATATCTTCTCGCATATTTATATACATATATTGTAATGTCAAAATAATTAGAAACTTAAAATTATTCTACTACGTATATAAATTAACATGTATGCATTTAGAAATCGATCAATAATAATAAAAGAACATTTCAGATTTCTTTTTCATGTTGAACACATTCCGTCCGCATAAGTCTTAAAAATAATAAATCTTAAATTATAATAATCTTGTTATGATCACATGTGTTTAACGATGTTTGGAGATATTGTTGTTGTTCAAATTGTTCTTTTCGACATATAAATGTACATAAAGTTATTCAAGAGAAATGTTAATACGAGTTTTTAATAACAAAACGTTGTAATATTTGCATCTCATGGCGTACGGTTGGAAATATAAAGAAAATGGGGCCAAGACAGTCCAAACTATTAAACACAGATTCACTGAATTAAAAGGATAAAGAACATTATCTCTAAATATTATGTACCAATCTCGATTCTTTATGCATACGTTTCTCTAAATTTGTCCATAAAGGTAACGAAATGTACGAAATAATGTGCAAGAGAGAGAAAGAGAGAGACTTGGTACATACTGTGGTGTCATCTAATTTTCTACAAACGTATATGTATAATAATGCAGATCAACATTTATAGTCACGTCAAACTTTTACACTGTATCTAAAGTTATAACGTAATAAATATGCGTATTTGAATATTATTTAATCAGTACGAAGCCATAAATTAGATCTTTACCATCGATAATGTCAAGCACACAAGCTACTCCACAAAGAAAATTATTTATAAATCTTGATAGAGATAAAAAGATTTCGTAAAAAACTTTTTATTTCCAGAATACGTAGCTATACAGCATATTCTTCTTTAAATTATATATACATATGCATCCCGATGCAAAATGCAATTTTCAAATTCTTTTCGTGGAATAGCATGCGATAAAAGAAATAATCAGACTAAAGTAGATGTAAAATTTGTGATAACTTTTTTGTTAAACAATAACGTTTGCCATATAGAAGTATTATTACCGAATATATATATAGCATCGTTAATTGCAGTCGAGATTAAAAGTATATTCACTTAATTTTTGAACGTATATCGACGATTAATTTGTTTATCAGCATATGCACGATTCTAGAAAATTAATCATAGCAGAGTTTCGTGACGTAATCAAGTAAAATAAATCACTGATAAAAGAAAAATATTAATGACTCGATGAAAAGTTTTTTTTTAGTTTCACATGGCTTCGATTACACAATTGAATTGTTCAAAATCAGATTATTTTCATCAGTGTTTAACATATTCTTATCATCACTAACATCTCTTGAGACACATAGACAAATGGGTAGTCTTCATGAAACATCCAGTGTGTAATAAACTACTACTTCTTAAAGCACAGTTTACTAGACCCACTATTGGCCTTTGTAGAGTCAAGAATCCGCATGCAGCACATTCTTATACATCTCTGCTGCAGTTCTCACTAACAGATGTATTTACATCAATCTATGCAGCTTCCATCTTACTCGGTGATCGAGTAAATCTAATCGAAATGCATTCTTTAAAACAAAAAGCCATCATGGGGAGAAGCACAGAGAGCACTACTGGCAGAGAGATAAAAAGTTGAGTCTAGCAGCAACAGGCAAGCAGTACCCCACCTGAGTGGTTGTGGGAATACGGCTGTTGCTGCAGTAACGAGTGATGGACCGCGACTGAGATTGCATTGGATGTTGTTGAGGACTGTTGAGTCTGGCTCTGAGTGGAGACGGAGGCGGACGGCTGTCCACTGAGACTGGGAAACTCGTGTTGGAACTGCGGGGACTGGTGGGCGAGGAAACTCAGTCCAAGGGCACCTCTTCCCCCTTTCGCGCCCCCCACGAGCCCCGCGTAACCAACCACTGCTGCCACAATGGGCGTACCTATCAATTAATTGCACCACCCAAACGACACCACTCCGCTCGTACTTTTACTCATGCCCAACGTCCAGAAATGGATGTTAAAAGGATATAAGTATCGCAAACGCTAGGCTCAACTAAAACGATTACTGTCACGTCCTATATCACGGCATATCATTATCACAGAGTTCGTCAAGTCCTTTGTCAATCCAACTCTGGACATCTGTCTAACGTTTCATGATATAGTTACGTGCGCTTATATATTCCAATAGGTTGTTTCAAATAAATTACTATATATGCGGCATCATTATATAATAATATTACATCATATAATTGTATATTGATATATGTATATAGTGGACCTATAATATCGTGTAAATGGCGTAGTGTACAATTCATTTTCGACCCTATCTGACGCTACTTGATCACTATATGGAAATGATTATTTATACATAATCAACGACAATGTATGTACAACCAGTTTCGCCCCCACCTACGGTCTCGCACGCTTCTTTTTCATAGGGGGAGGCGAGTACGAGTACCCACACACGTGGAAGTGGAAAGACTCTTTAGCCTTGTAGTCGCGATTGATTAGAGATTACAAGTGTTTTAGTCACTAGAAAATTTTGAAAAGACTCACAGGTCTCGTTTTTTCAATATTATTTTAAGCATACATGCCTGCTTTCGGATAAACGAGTTTAATGGTGTTTTAATGGAACGGAAAATGTGAAAAATGAGAAAAAAATAACTTAAAAATCTTAACATTCTACGTTAATCAATATTATGCATACATGCCAGTAGTGCTAATAGGATACGCTTTCCTTTCTACATACCGTCTCCTGATCTGCTCATAATCGCGCTCCATGATGATTTGTTGTTTGTCTGATCCAAAAAAGGAGGTTGCGACGCATTTTGTTGCGTCGGCAATAAAGAGTGTAGGGCTGGTGAGACAGTGGTCCCTGCTGCGCATTGTGCTGTTGAAGAGACAGTCTGCAAGGAGACATTAATTGTAACTTCGGTCAAGCGTAATAAAACCAACGAGTTCCGATAGAACGCGGGGATGAATTTGGGCACGATAAGCCCTTTTCATTTTGTTCCCACCCCCGCCTTACGCCAAGAGAACTGAACTGAATTACAGCTTACAGTAGTGTTATCTAATGCAGTTGCTACTGTGGTGGTAGTAGTAGTGGTCGACGATGTTGAATCCTTAGTAGTAGCCCAACCACTTCCTCCACTTGGCACAAGACTGACAGCCGGGTCACTGCTGCTGGTTTCGCTTTTTAAACTGGGCAAATTAGCCGGGGGACGCCGTGCCGAAGGCACCTTTCCAAGACTTTGCATCCCATGTTTGCGCGGTAATGTATTTTTCTGCTGATGCGGCTCCAAAGATTCGCCCTGTACGGGGGGGAAGAAAAACAGCCGGTCGGAAATATGTAGCCAGTGGACAAGAGCTTCTCTCTCGGGACGATCGAACGAGTGTAAACAGAGACCGCGTGAATGCGTGACGTTAAGAGTGTCCAACAATTATCTTATGTACGTAACAATACGGATATTGACGCGAGATTAAAATGCATGCAAAACACTCTGTTAAAATAGGGTATAATTATTTGCGCCGGAACAAAGGCGTCCCTCGGAAAGCTAATGGAGAAAAGGTAATAAAAACGTTGGCCAACTCACCCTACTCACCCGGTACAAGCTATTGATATCTAATGATTGGAACTTGGATTTTCCTTTCTCCCCCTTCGACACAATCCCTGACAGAGTAGACATGCTGTCTGCACACAACCATTTAGTACCAATCAGACCCAAAGAACGAACCCTTTGTCTGCAACAACAAAAGTTATCTCTTAATAACACGGTTTTTTCCGCCTTCCTCTTCCTTCGTTAGCGTTCATCGGGGCTGCGATTTGAGAAAACCGCGTTGACAATCAGTCGCTTTTTTACACCGAAACAATCCCGCTGCGCGAAACACAACCGCGCCCGACAATAAAGGCCTGTGTCCACGATGCTAGAACTTGCGTCCAAGTTCTAGTTTCCAGGGTACTGTAGCCAATCAAGTTGCGGCTACTCCATGAAAGCTGCAAGTCGATTGGCTACACATTTCTCGGGACCAGAACTTGGACCAAGTTCCAGCATCGTGGACGCAGGCCTTAAGAAATGTGTAGCTAAGGCTTTGCGTCCACGATCCAAGAACTGTGTCCAAGTTCTAAGAAATGCGTAACCAATCAACCTGCAGCTATTCCATAAAAGCTGCAAGGTGATGGGCCACGCATCTCTCGGAACTAGAACTTGGACACAGGCCTTAATCAACCTGCAGCTTTTATGGAATAGCTGCAAGTCGATTAGCTACACATCTCTTAAGCCTCGTGTCCACGATCCAAGAACTGTGTCCAAGTTCTAGCTCCGAGAAATATGTAGCCAATCAACTCGCAGCTATTCCATAAAAGCTGCAAGTTGATTGGCTATACATTTCTCGAAACTAGAACTTGGACAAAGTTCTAGCATCGTGGACACAGGCCCTTAGAACTAGAACTTGGACCAAGCATCGTGGGCACAGATCTTAAAGGATTCGACCCGTTGTGTAAAAGCCGCCGATGGATGTGTACATACGCTCCGCGATGTTTATGTGAAAGAGTGTCAAACGGTCGTGCGAAAATCGCGTAGCGCGCAAGAATCGCCGCGGTGCGCGCACACACACACACACGGGCGCCGCTCCTCTTTATTCGAGCGCCCGAAAACGCTCCGCGGCCGACGACACGGGGACTCGCGCCACGACGCCGATTCCGCCCGCGGAAAATGCCGCGGCGCGCGGAGGCGCGCGTCGGGTGGCCCCGCGGCCGCTTTGTCCGTCGCACAGTGGGACGCGGGCTGTCAGACCGCGGGCCCTCGGCGTGCGCGCGGGGCGATAAAACAGGAGCGCCGCGGGTAAAAGCGACGAAAATAACTCGGGCGCGACTTATCGCCGCGTACCCGCGCTGTCGCGTCGCACACGCCTCTATACGCGGTGCCCGACGACGGGGGCGGTCGCGGGGAAGGAGGGACGGGGGGGGGAGAGGGCGCGAGGGGAGGCAGGTGTACGCCGCGACCCAACCCCTCGACGGTGTCCCCGAGGATCGCGCGTTCCAGCCCCGCGTCACGCCGTGCCGTCGCGCGCAGTTTTCGGCCGCGATAACGGTATCCTCCGCTCGGAAGAAAGCGGACGGCCTCGCGCGCGCGCGCGCAGGGTGCGGGAGGGGAACCGACGGGGACCGCGAGGGACGAGGGGGGGGGGTAGAGGAGAGGAGGACGACGGCGACGACGGATGAGGA